CCGTCAAAAATACTGCCAAAAAGGCAATAGTAACAGTGCGTTTGACACAGATGACTCGAAATTCATATGTATTTTGAGCAACGGTACCGTATTTATGTTACTTTCGTAACATTCCACATATAATGTAGCTGGTCCTTCTGAGTTGCGCGCGAAGCGTGCGACTCAAAGGACCAGTCTCAGATTAGGTCTATCTTTCTGTCAGTACCAGGTACCAGGCATACTACTGTAGTTCGATATGACGAGATTAAGGCTGTGCACAGATTTCAAGATTGCCCGTTGGTAAAACCCGCGTTCGCCGAACAGCGGATCTCGTGGCGAAATGACTTATCACAACACACTGTGGCTAAGATGAAGTATTGCAAGCACGTGCTTGTCATTGCGGCTTCATGCTTTTCGCACTTTACACTAGCTTCTACCCCCAACGTTATCGTTAGTGTTGGCGGCAACGAATACCTTGCAAAGCGCGGGTTATTCGGAAGCAAAGAAGAAGTTGGTGGAGAGTTGGTCCTTGCACCAGCTTCAGACCCTCTCCTCTGCAACTACAATGGGACACAAACGGCCTCTCCCCTTTCTGCAGCTTCCATTCTTCTTGTCCCTCGTGGTGATTGCAGTTTTGAGCAAAAAGCGCACGCAGCTCGTCAACTCTACGGAGTCGTTGGAGTTTTTATTTACGACACTCTGAGTGCGAGATATGGATGGGACGCAGAGAATGAACGTGTTAACTTTCCCCGAGCCCAATGGGACTACGAGTGTGCCAATGGGTTCGGGACCATGAAGAATCTAGCATTGGATCCCCCGAAATACAATTCAACCGAGCTTGACTCTGTCCTCAGTCAAGGTTGTACGTTACAGGCGACTCGGAGCCCATGTGAATCAAATCTATGTGTGGTGACCTCCCATACAAAGAATGATACTGATTATCCAGTTTGCTGTGCTTGGGATTTACCGATGACAATGGGTGGGGATGACAGTTTGAACGACGATATGACTAAAGACGTGGTGGCAGTTTTTTTGACTATTCGTCAGGGGAAGGAAATTGTTCCACTCGCAACCGCTGTAGGAGCAGGCGGAGGTGCTGTAGGAACCATCACCGCCCGTCCACGATCGAATTTCAATATCTCTTTTCTATTCATATGGCTCATGGCCATGTTCGCCACGCTCTTCGGTGCTTGGAATGGCGCCAAGGAATATCGGGATTTCAGTGAAAAACTTGCAGAATACAAGGCACAGCACGGCACTCCAACTAACTTATCTGGGGCTCGCGACGCCATTTTCGATGTTTCTGCTGACGAGATAGACCGTGACGACGAGCTAACCTCGGAACCAGGAAACGAACCGCCGTTTCGTGATGAAACGAGCGACTCCAAAGGTGGTGTGCTCGGGTGGGCAAAGAAATTTGGCAGGGGAAATAAGCAAGATGAGCCACTTTCTCTTCGTTCTATCCCCCCTGCTCGTAAAGGAAGTAAAACAGAAACCGAAGAACCACAAATAAAAAGTGGGAAGCAAGCAGAAGGATCTTGGGCGTTGCATTCCATTCCACCTGACAAGAAGAGAAAAAAGAAAAAGTCAGCTGCTCCAGACGAGAGCGCAATTGATGCCGCGACTCGAGACGTAACAGCACAAACTAGGGCGCAGAGCTCGGGAGAGGATATAGATGGTTTCATTCCTGAAGGAGAGTCTGCTGGCAAAATGGAGGCAGAGTTGACCCAATGGCACATATTTGGGTTTGTGGCATCTGCAAGCATTATGTTGATGCTTCTCTTTTACTTTCGGTTTTATCCATTCATCTTTGTTGTTTATGCTCTTGGTTGCGCAGGAGCAGTATCTTATCTGATCTTCAGTCCAATTTTGGTCAAAGTAGTTCCAAAGCTTGGAGACGAAGTCATCACGGAATTGAACAAGGAAGTTTGCTGCAGGCAAAACGGCTTTGACGTAACGAGTCAGTTGGCAGGATTCGTATGGTCAGGCATCTGGATCTGGTATGGACTATCACACTATCAGCCACTGACAAACTGGTTCTTTTGGATCACACAAGACGCGTTTGGAATCACCGTCTCCATCATGTTTATCGGGGCCCTAAAGTTGTACTCCATCAAGATTGCGACTTGGTTCCTTGTCGCTGTTTTCTTTTACGACATATTCTTCGTCTTTATCACGCCTTACTTCACAAGTAATGGGCAATCTGTAATGCTTGCCGTGGTTGGGGATTCGGATACTCCGATTGATGATTTTTGCTTCAAGTATCCCGATGATGGTGAATGCACAGGAATTACATCACTTCCAATGATCCTGACATTTCCTCATATCAATGACTGGACAGGCGGGTCGGCTATTTTGGGGTTGGGAGACATTTTGCGTAAGTTCTCAAGTTCTGTGGCAGTTAGTTGAATGGATGAATGAACTAAACTGTTTTCTCTTGAATACTGCAGTCCCCGGATTTCTGGTGTCGTTTGTAAGTGCCAAAATAGATAATTCGAGAGGAAATTCAAATCATCATCTCATTTTGTCTCTTTCTTTCAGACTGCAAGAGTCGACGAAGCAAAACGATTGCTGGGAAGGCACACGACGATTGACTTGCAAGTACCAGCAAAATGGTACCAGGGTTATTTCTTTCCCCTTTCGGTTGCGTATGGCATAGGCTTGCTGATAACATTTTCGGTATTATGGTCAACTGGCCAAGGGCAACCCGCTTTATTGTACTTGTCACCAACGTGTTTGATCACAATCTTTATTGTGGGACGAAAGGAAATCAAGGAAATGTGGAATGACTCGCGAACCTTGCGGCTAGCTGATAAACTGATGAAGAAATGTGAAAAGAATTGGGCAAGACAAAGGATGCAACGTCTCATCGCGAAGAAGCGAAAAGAAAGAGCTGGTGGTGGCAATGCTGGTCAAGGAGTCCCGCCTGAACAGAATCAAATAGAAAGACCTTCTGGTGGAAGAAAGTCTAATGCTGGGCGGTACCAACCAGATGGCAACAATGCCACCGGAAGAGGTCGCGGAAGAGATAATCTGGGCGGAAGAGGCCGAAACCCCCGCAATCCAGCTGGAAGAGAAGGTGGGGGGAGAAGACCTGTCCAAAGACAAAACGCTGGGACCAGGAGAAGGCATAGTCGAGGTCGCAAAGCAGAATCTGAAGGCAACGATGGCGGGAAAGCAGCGGGATCCCAAAGTGACTGTATCGAAGTCGGAAAAAATGACATCTGTGTTGACAATGATAGCAATCCAGGAAACAAGGCTCTTCGTCGCGCAGCTGAAAAGTCGGTAGATACCTTCGGTGTTGATGACTTTGGACCAGAAGTCTACAAGGATATAAAGAAACAGCTAAAAGGAAAGAGATTTTTGATCAGGGATGGATCACAATGGCGACAAGCTGGTAAGATCGAAATTCGGGATGCGGTCGAGCGAGCTTTCAATGAAGCAAAAGGTTCATAATCGTGGTTGGTCACCGAGAGGAAATCCCAGCACAGGTACACGTACGTGTACACGTGTACACGTGTACAGGTACAACGGCTACGGACGGTGAAGTGTTCACTTTCCACGTCATCTTGTTATAAAACAATAATATAAAAAATACATAATAAAAATATTGAAAATTTTAAAATAGATGAGATGTGCGTTGAGTAAACTGGGATTTGAAATGAAGTCTCACATTTTTGAACGGTTCGCAGTTTAATGAAGATCGAGGCATGAAAACTGCACGATTCCACATGATCATACTTTTTCATCCATATAGAATCAAATGTCAACTGCCTTTGGGAATACTCGATCTTGTGCTCCCAGCAGCGATCACCATTCAGCAAATAGTAGCTTCGAATACACAGAGAATATGCGGCCTCCTACCACTGTCAATGCATCTCGCAATGTCCCAAGATTACAAAGAGACCAAGCGAAAAAACATGGTCCTGATCAATCATTTGACGCTATCAGCCGTTTGTCTCGCCGTCAGACGCCACCCCAATCATACTTCAAGCAAGTAAAGGGCCCTTTCGATTCAAATAACGACAAAATCAGCCAATCGGTTCGAGATGCCTTTATTCCTCCACGACACAATTTTGTCAACAAGAAGAACTCGCAAAAAAACAGATTAAAGGAAAATGGTACTATAACTCCCTCTAATATCGTATTTGAGCTTGGTCAAAACGATATTGTATGCGGGCGCGGTGCCCCGTCTAACCTGCATGAAGGAAACCAAATGTTTCGGGAGTTGGCGGAAGAGCACCAAGCATCCTATCTTTGTTCCAAGCGTGCTGATAAGCCGAAAATTGCTATGCTGGTTATGGAAGAAGTTCAAGCTCGCGGGGGGCGCTTTGTCCGCCGAGTCAAGACGACAACAAATGGCCGATCTTTTGGGTGGGAAGAACTGGAAGAAAAGCGATCATACGAAAAAGTGTGTCAAGTACTTCGGGAAGGAGCTCCTGAGATTCGTCGGAAGATGTTGTCGTGCAGCAAACTTCGAGAAAAGACGCATCAGAACGACCAGGCGTCATCAGAGCGACTACTCCCGGTTTTCCAAGGAAGCTACTCTTGTCGTTACGACTTTTATCAATAGTCATCGGAGCAATCCAAGCTCTAGTAACAAAACCACCAGGCCACTCCATCGAAACACATGCCGATAACACGACTTCTCGCCATGTTCACTCTCGACTGCTTTTGTCATTTTAATATATAATCAAGTCTCGGGAAAAAATTAAAGTCATTTATTAATAATAGTTCAAATATTCTCAAGCGACAATGGTTGTACAATTACTGTAGGGTGCACTCTCTCATACTACGGGTCAACGCGATTGTTCCTGTACCTGAAGAAACAGCCGAAAAACTTTATTTCAATCTTACCTACTTATTATGCCAAAAAATTTCCTTGCCACATCAATTGGAAGTACTTCTCACTTTGGAGTTCTCCGACTGGTGTAGGCCATGGAGTTCGTGAACGGTGTCATCCACTATCATCCACTTCCCAAACATTGTTGATTGATAATACCACCATGCTAGATCACGCCCTCTTCTATTATGGATTGTCATGCACAGCATTGTTTATCTTGTGAAGCCACTAGTATGATGTCACTTAGGATTCATTTGTTTCTGCGAAAGTTCCTCCAACAGTCTGCTTCGATTTCATCAATGGCTTGAGCCGCCACAAGTTTCTTCTTTCCTTGCTGGTTGTCATACACTTTGAGCTTCGGTAATGACAGAAAACCCAGTAGCTCTCTATCACTCGATTGATTTCTCTTGTATGACACGCAGTAGACTTTTTTGAAGCGGGAAATCTGTTGCGTTATTTCGGGGTACACGCGGATCTCCCCATTTCGACTTCCCCAGCTTTCAAATGAACCAATATCTCGTCTTCGTTCAGCTTCGTTGCCGATCTCCGCGGATCGTCGAAGTCGACTGCAAAGCAAAAATAGATGGCAGATTAGTGATCACAGCAGCAGAACTTTTTAAAACTCAACGACCCAATTCAAGATGGCATCCTCCGGTTCTGGCTACGATCTTTCTGCCTCAACATTTTCTCCTGATGGACGCATTTTTCAAGTAGAGTATGCGACGAAGGCTGTGGAAAATGCTGGCACTGTGGTTGGCATCAAATGCAGCAACGGAGTGGTTTTGGGATGCGCCAAACCAATTCATCACAAGATGGTGGTTGCCACCAGCGGATCTTACAAGCGTATTCACACTTGTGATACTCACATTGGTGTTGCTTCCACTGGTTTCCTTCCAGATTCTCGAGTTTTGGTGCAACGTACAACAGAAGAAGCCGCAGATTGGTTGGAACAGTATGGAGGAAAGATCCCACCACACGTTCTGGCGGATCGGCTGGGAAGCTATGTCCACTATTTCACTTTACACGGAGCGCTTCGTCCGTTTGGAGCTGCCGCAGTCATAGCAGGACACGATCCCGATACCAAGGAATGCTCTCTGCATCTTCTAGAACCCAACGGTGCTCCGTACAGATTCTATGGTGTCGCCACTGGAAAGGGCAAGCAAGCTGCCAAGACTGAACTGGAAAAGTTGAATCTTCACAAGACACCAATCGCTGCTGATGAAGCTGTCAAGCAGATTTTGCGAATTTTGCATTTGTTGCACCAAGAGTCAAAGGATTCCAAACCAATTGAAGTTGAAGTGAGTTGGATCTGCGAGGCCAGTGGCTGGAAACACAAGGGTGTGCCCAAGGATGTTCTTAAGACATCAGAAGACTGGGCAAAGGAACAATTAGAAGAAGAGGAGGAAGATGATGACGATGACGAGGAAATGGAAGAGGAGAGCTAAGTTAGCTAATCTAAATAGTCGAGTCGACAATGACGCCCTTTAGTCTTGAGACAAGCCAGTATGCACCAGTTTGTTTTCATTTTTTTGGTGTGCGTGGTCAACGCTTTGGGAAGGTGAACTTTAGTCCTTTTTCTCTTCTTTGGTTTCCTCCGGAACGTCCTCCCGCAGCAAAGCTTCAAAGTCCTTGAGCAATGCTGGTGCGGCTGGAACATCCAGTTTCAAATCGTCCATTATTTTGTGCAGACGAGAAACCCCCTTTGAAACCTGATGCCCCGATACGATAGCATTCTTGACCAAGAAGGCAAACAAAGCAGCCATGGCATCAATGGAAGACTTGTCGTGTAGTGTGTTTGAATCTTTGCCATCGACTTCCATTGCAATTTTGACTCCGCGTTTCACAAGCTCGTGCATGTAGTGGGCTGCATCCAACTCCTTCACGCACCGGGCGCATTCATCTGTAAGCAATCACAAGCAAAAGTAGGGAATGAGGCCTTTTTGTTTAAAACTATTGATTGACCAGATTTCCTAACGCTTTGGTTAGACTTACCCAATTCTCGACTCATCAAATACTCCTGGAGCATTTGATCCATCTCGACTTTCAATTCACTAACTGGACGACCATCCCCAGGACCCCAAACACGCTCCAAACGAGCGGTGCAGTGTTCTCTCGACAAAAGAGTGATTGCTTTCTCAACAACAATATCTCCTGGACGCTTGTTGTTTTGCTCGGATAGATAAGCTGGTGGTAGTACCTCGTCCACAACGGCGCGTGCCACAAAGTTGGCAACCATGCTCTAAAGTAATCAATCAATCGTGCGGAAACAGAAAGGAGAAATGACAAGACGAAATGGGTAAGAAAACGCCTCGAGGATATGTTGTCGCATATCAAACAGGAGACATACCGGAGCGTCGGGAACATCAGTAGTGAGATCGTCCAAAGAATCAAAGAGAATGTCGAATCCGACCTCCATATCTTGATCGGTCAGTGGTGTGGGATGGAGACAAGTTAAAAGACGCGACACGAGCTCTCTTTCCCTGGGATGCTTGTCCAGACTGAGCGACACCGCTCTCTTGATGACATCGGGGTGGAACTCGCGACACTGCATTTCTTCAATGGAACGAATGACTTCATCAGTATCACAAGAATCAAAATATTCCTTCAAACATTCCTCGACTTGGATCTTGAACTCGGATTGAGTGAGCATGGGCCCGTAAACTGGCTTTTGTTCGCTTTCATGGTAGTTGCGCGAATCTGGATCCTCAACACTGCTCAAAATGATTCCGGGTCCTTGTTGTTCATCATACAATGGATCATTTTCATCCAGAGGTTCGACTCCATCTTCGTAAAAAATTTCATCGTCTTTCCACTTTCCCTTGCCATGGCCGCCCTGTTTCTTGTTTCTCGAGTCAAAGTTTCCAGTCTCCTTTGGATCCGTCTTTTTTCGAGTAATGTTTCGCTTTGAAGATCCTTCCTCTTTCACTTTGGTTTCATGGTCCGCAGATGCCGGGCGAGCTTGTTGCTTCAAGAACTTGGCTTGAGCTTGGGCCGAAGTGGCACGGACACCTTCACCAGAGGGATTGTGCACTTTTCCCTGTGTAGGAGAAGAAGTCGTGAGCAAGAATATAGACGATAAGGCAGAAATGACAAGAGAAGAAAAGGGCAGGTAAAGATTACGACTAGCGTCGTATCTTGCAATTTCCTAATCCCATCTTCCAAAAGAGACGTTATATTTTCGTACCATTGTCGAAACAGTGATTTCCGGACGCTTTGCGTAATCGGCCATCGTAAAAGAAGTAGAATGGGTTTTTGGTGAAGAAGAAACTGTGATGGCAAGACTGGAACCTTGCTTGAGTGCTGGGAGCTATGTTATTAGTGCCAAAGGAAAGTGTCAAGCTTGATGTCGACTGTGAAGAATATTGACCACAGCGATCGATGGAGAGTTCTGGAACGAAAATTAAAAGATCGCGAAAACCACTTCCCGGTAGAGAAGTCGCGTACGGGTACAGGTAGAAATTGAAGACAGTCTTGTTCTCAGACTCATCGAGAAGCCAAAACGCACTCGTACCTGGTACTTGCTATTAAAGAACGTAAATTGGCTATTGGTATTGGCGCATGAAGAATATTACTGTAGCACACGGATTTTCATTGCAATCTCTTGCGATGCTCAAGACTAAGAACAATACTGTACGTTCTTGGCTAGCTAGAATATTACGACATCTTGCTTGCCAGATCCAAAACCAGAGCCGCAGGCAGCCAGCGGGCGGCGTGTACTATTAATAGTACGTAGTAGTAATATTTTTATAGTTCGTTGGTACTGATAGAATGAATTGCAGCAAATTTCTTTCTAGAGAACTCAGGCCTATTCTTCATTTGAAGTTCCCTACAATAGTAGATCCAATTCTAGCAATTCGGCGCAGGTGCATATTCAAGCGTTGTCCATGGATCCATCGTCCAAGTCGTCCCACTTTCCCTTGCCACCGCCGCCGCCATGTTGTTTCTTCTCTTTTCTAATTTATTTGAGCGAGAGATCAAAGTTAGTGCTTGTTTATCCAATTCCAGAATCTGACAGCGTCAATCCTTCTCGCGTCGCACGCACCTGCTTGGATCATGGTCATTCTTGCGGGTGATATTTTTCTTGGTTGATCCTACTTCGGTTCCTTTGGTTTCGGGGACCCCATGCTTTCCCTTTGCGTATCCTTCTCTGTAATGACGAGTGCATGTGTGAGCGTTTGATGTACAGGGGTAATTACAAAAGGGCGGGCAACCATGGTCACTGTTCTCGTTGACACCCACCAAACCGCTGTCAAGACTTCACCTTGGATTCTGATCAGCAGTGCGACGCAATATTTCTGACTTACTCCTTCGGGTGAACCATCTTTATCTCTGTTGATTGAGTTGAAATTAGAGTTGTGCTTGTCGTCTCGTGTCTTGTCGGTACCGTTGTACTGTTTTGTATGGAAAAAAGTGTGAACAGATCTGAGATCGTAGACCGTTGATGTCAACGAAAACCCGAAGCCCGGATTTTTGTGCTGATTAGTTCGACTAATGCGCCACTTTCGCCTCTTCGCATTTTATATTTTTAAGAATTGCTCATCGTTTTACTATGCTGGTACCGGTGGTACCTGGTACCTGGTACCAGGTACCGATAGTCAAGGATATAAAATTTACTGGCAAGACGGGGGTAATTTTCCGAAATAGGGGCAGGGGACAGACGGGGGCTGCCGCTTGTCAAGCGGGTTTCAGAATGCCTAACACAATTGCGATAAAAAAATAACGGTCGTGTCACCTGCATGGAAAGAGAAAAGCTCGACACAAATTGCACAAGCACTACATCCTCGACACCTGGTGAACAAAACGGACGTGGAATCTGGAATCCACGAATGTGTATTTCTATTTCTGAACCGTTAAGAAATGGAATTTCCATTTCTGAACCGTTCAGAAATGGAATTTCCATTTCTGAATCGGTCGATTCCCGCTTGAACTGCTTGTCCAGCCGTTAAATTCTAGCGATGATGTTTGCAACAATAGACCTCGCGAGCAAACACTTGCCAGTTTATATCCGGCGCTGGCCAACGGAGGAATGATCGCAAGTCGAGTCCACAAATGTAGCCTTTGTTGCCACACTAGCTTCCGAGATAGAAATAGAGATCCTGTTTCTGAACGCTTCAGAAATA